ACGAATTTGTGGTATGGGTATGGGTATCAGCATCAGCATAAACATAACCCGCTGCATGCTCTACTACGCTCTCTGCGAATTGGACTGTGGCATGCGCTATATAACTAGGCCCGGCTATAACCGATTTGCACGCGAACTCCCAAGCTTGGGAGCCACCTTGAATTACATAAAATTGGATTTGAAAGTCGCACCGATCTTCGAGCGTCTACAATTTCCATCGATTTGCTCGGATCTGCTCGAGTGTCGCTGTGGCGAATTGGGCACAGCATCCGAGATTGAGTTCCAGTGTCTTCCCATTCCCATTCCCATTCCCACTCTTGTTCCCACTCCTATTCCCATTCCCAGTGGCCAATGGCCAATGGCCATGGTGCAAATTGTAACAGTGACCCAAATAAAATTGCGGCGACGGGCGACCAAAAAGACCGGTAAGATAACAGTGAATGTGCAAGTGCCAGGCTGTCTGTCTGTCTCCGCTCGCACACACAGGCACTGCCACTAGTGTCGTGGCCACAGGTGTAGGTATGAATTTTACGCATGCAATTTAATGGAAACCGTAATTTTCCACTTGCCAAACCAGAAAGAATTTAAGACCAACTTCACTAGAGATGCGCCAGTGTTAACTTACAAATTATTAACAAAATTAAACTGTCTTAACTTTGAAAATTATCTGCCACAAAAAAATTTTAGTTGCAAACGATCTGTTTATTATAAAGACTTTTTTATTAAAAAAAATATTTTTATTTAATATATTTTATTTTGAATACTAGTTCAGATTAATCAACAAAATTTATTTACACTACTGTATTATTTATTTTTTATCTTCTGAGCTGGTCCAGAGTTTAATATTCCGAAAAATCAATAAATTTAATTGAAATGAAATGACTATACACTTAACGTGTAGAACGGTAAGCCTTTTGTTTTTGCGGTTTGGCTTTGAGATTACAAGCCAGGCATTTAGTTTGCTAAGCCAAGCGGTCGAATGCGGTCAGTTTAGCAGCTACAAACCATAAATACAAATTGCTTTATGGCTTAGTTTTGTGAGTAACCACCACACATTTGTTGATGGCATAACTTTGGCACTTCTCACGTGGGCAGCGCTGTTGGCTCGCCTTGCTGCCCGTAATAAGAAAGGTAATCACACGGTGTCAACCTCGAGTCCAGCTCATCTGAGTCTGAGTTCAGCCCGACTCACCTGGAACAGGTTCTAGTAAAGCCAACCAGCGTTTTGCAAGAACGGAGAGGAAACTCTTTTCTGGGTGATGGCCCGGCTTGTATCATTTCGGCCACCGTTTGCCACTGTTACATATGTGCGCACGACTTTGTATTGTTTTCATTACCATTATTATTCTTTCGGTGGTCACTTTCTGCCAGGTCATGATGCTCTGGGTCTCTGATTGTTAAACCGAACAATGGCTGGCCGGAAAACATTCAATTTGGTGAAAATTTTGCACAATGGGAAATTTATTGAACGCTTTCCAGGTGACAAAAGATTTGCGGCGAACATAAATCAAAATGAAAACGTTTTGCCAACCAATTTGTTGAAAAAAATCATATCAAATGCGATGAGCTGTTGTAAAAAAAAATATCGCTGTGTGAATAAGCAGTGAAAGTTGCTTGGCCGCAATAAATGACATCATTTTTGGCAATAGCCCCGATTCCGATTTAAATACCGACCATCAATACCCACCAGCAATGATCTTACATTGCCTGCGGAAACAGTCGCAGAATCTCAATTCGGTTTTATGGATGCACAGAGATCGGGCAAAACTTTTAATGCGTTTGGTTCATTTCCATGCCCCGAAGAATGTGTGTTGTCATGCAGCGGAAGCCAGCGCAGAGCGGAGAATTTCACTTTCACCGCCAAACATGTCAAAACAAATTCGAAGTTTGCCGTGTATTTCCTGTTAGACGGGCGCATCCCATAACACCACTCTTTCGCTTTGAGCCGGTGTTGACAGCCCGATGATTTGTAGCTGCTCGGCATCGATATAAGGCAGTAGCACTCGAAATAATGCCGATGAGCTTGAAAGATAAACCACCAGACAACAAATGTGTGCGAGTACGCCAAGACAGTCATTACAATTGAGTAGCTACTGTTTCAACTCCATTCACATGCTCCGATACAGTCAAACATCTGTAACTCGAAACGATTTTTTTTGTAACTGGAAAAATTTAATTTATGGCTGATAGTTATCAGTCCTGGTATTAATGGCAACCTACTAAAATACGTAAATATTAAACAACTTTTTATATTTTGTATATACATATCTCAAGAAAAATGTATTAAATAGTTTTATTAGATCCTTTCTTTAGCTGATTTTGTATATAAATCCAAAATAATGGAATAAGTTCTTCTCTATTTAATTTTTTTTGTATTTAATGTTCGACTTATGCTTCAAACTAAATGTATTTCTTTCAATACATCTGAAATATAGTTTAAAGTAGATTTTTAGTTTCTATGAGTCATAAATTCTTGCTATTGAAGTTCTACTGTAGTTTCACTCGGGTGCTTAATGGTAGGAAGTGCAATCCATACTTGGCCCAGGTGAAATGCTCTCCCGGTACTCGATGTTCATGATCTGTCACAGTCTTAATGCGATTGCGTTAAGTTTATGAAGTGTAAAATGGCTGTGGGAAAATGGTTTTGGCCCTCTCGCCGGCCCAGAAGAAAGTCAAATGTCGCTTTCACATTAATTGCATGTGGCGGGCGGGGAGGGAAACGACGAAAAATATATGTGGAGTTATGGAATTTGTAATTTGCATAAACTGAGAATCTGAAGCCGAGTGAGTGTGCGTATAACGGGTACGACAATTAGCCAAACGAGAAGAAAAGAGTTATGAATTGATTTTTAAGTAGCCAACTGACAGGCAGTCGGCCGAGAGCGATTGAGATGCCGAGATCTATGTGGAGCAACAATTGACCAAGTCGATGATCGGGCAGCGGTAAAAACGTGATCTTGAAATTACATCGCTGTCGAGCATCGACAGCAGGGGTTTTGCCTTCAACTCCAAGTCGGCTTCCTTCCCGCAGGCCGAGTCTCAAATTACCGCAAAGTCAACTGCAGGCAGCGTCGACAAGTGCAGCGGCGGTCTTGGCCATGGCCATGGCCATGGCTAAAAACCACGACTGACAGCGACAAGAAAGCCGCAAACTGGCACACGCTTCCATCAGATTCTGTGTGGTTGTTGTCGGGCTGCTCTGCACTGCATTGCATTGCACTGCGGCTACTGGCCAAGACATTTTCATTTCGCACGCGTTTTTCCTGAACTGCTTTCCTGGTTTTCTTTCTGTTCAAACAACGCTTGAATAGAAATTGAAAATTGTTTTACGTGTTTCATACTAATGATCAGGTGTGTATGTGTCCGATGATTGGCATTTGCTTGACTCGACTTCCACCTCACTGACGCAGCACAGTTCTGCGATTGCTGGCAAACGGAAGTATTGATTTTCTCTTCTTTGGTTTTTTCCTTGGTTTTCCCAAACCTTTCGGAAAAGGGTACGGCAAGCAAAAGAACAAAGGTTGGCGTTGGGAAAACACCTTAAAGAAAAGCTATTGCATCCCAAGAAGACATAATTACTGTGGGACTTTTAATCGGTTAACTGAAGGCTTGCAAAGCTAAGATTACATTTCAAAACGATGTCATTTATTATTTTTGTAGGGAAATTAGTGTTAACCAAACTTCCCCTTTGTTTGATTTTGTGTTTTCCATATTATTTTCTTAATATTTTTGTAGAAATATTGATTGCTCGATTTGAGAAATTTTAAATTTTTGATGTTTTGTTTTATGCTTTAATATAAGTACAAGTTTATTTCAATCAAAATACAATCACATAAAGGCCATCCGTCTAAGCTTACATTTTTTAAATTCAACTTTGCCCATTTTATTTTCAATGGGTACAACAAACTTCGATGACTCCTCTGATTTTTTAGAAAAGGTGTTTTTAAAAGTGTTTACGGAAGGACTTGTAAGGGCTGCAGGTGATTTTGCAGCGTAAGCTGCACAAATAAAAGATTCACTTTATAAGAGCTCTGAACTTGAAGAAAAGCATTGATTGGATGGGAATATGCTTTCAGCTTTATTAAGGTTCCCCTAGAGGCCATAAAGTCTTAACAACATACTTATGAATGTTTTCACCAATTTAATGATGTTAGAGAAATGAAAACGGTGTGTGAAATTTCACATGTCAAAGAACCTGAGTCTTTTTTTTGGTGCAATAAATAATACTGGGCCGATTATCACAAATAGTTTGTTTTCCCCCTTTTGATTGTGTCTGGCTTTTTGTTGACTTTGCACCTCGACTCTTTTGTTGGCTGGCACTTGGGCTCAATCTGAATTGAATGGGCTCGAGTTGGTGCCGATCTGTACTAATAACCAGGTACTCTAGAAATTTGTTTCACTTTTTAAATCAGCCAAATGACCTCGACAATTAACGGCAATGGGATGCTGAGCTGCGGGCCGAAAGCCAGCACTAACCACTCGTAAAATCGTAAAAACTGTCACAAGGAAAGTCGACGAGTCTGTCTGCCCAAGATCTCGAGGTCTTTTGTGGCTGCTTTGTGGCCGTAATGTAGCATAAAACGAACCAAATAATTGCCAAGTGCGTGGAGTGTGGAAAGTCATTCGAGAAGCACCAGCCACAGCCGCAGTTTTCTGTGCCAAAGTTTTTCTGATTCATTTATTGACACAAAGGCATAGATTTTTTTTTTTGCCATGAGCATTTGAGCATTGTCAACTTGGCCAGGCCAAGGCATTGAGTGAAAGCCCCCATTGGAGGGGATGGCTTTGGCTACATACATATGTACATATGTATGTGAGCCAAAGTGAGGCAGCAAAAGCCACTGACACGATTCGATTTGCAGCGACATGAGCTTGCAATTTGGCAAATTGATTTTCTTTGCCATAATTCTACATTTTATTGTGTGCTAAACTTTCTTCTTTGTGCGGCCTTTCATCAAATCATTCGGGCAAGTCAATGAGCTAAATGGTCTGTCACTTACCGCCATTCGTTTCAATTGATCTAAATCCACTTGTTGTCGGCACAAATGATGCGACTATTATTATTAAACTTGTTAAAGCGATGGAAAGTAGTTGTGGTTTTGTTGTTCTCGTCGTTGTCGTTGTTGTTGCTGTTGCTGTTCTCGTTGCTGCTGTTGTTGTTGTGCAGCAGCGGGACAACATCGCCGTTGAGGCCGGCGTAACCCACTTAAACATGTTTGCTGCTGGCCGGACGACACTTGCGGGGAGTTCTTGGCCTAGACCGTCTGGCAGCGACTCGTTATGATATTCGCCCTGCTTGTTTCGAAATCGCCACCAAAAATCGGGCAAAGTAAGTGCGAAAAGATAGTGTTGTAACGGCGCGCGCGCTAAACGAAAGACTTAGGCGACGAACGCGAATTGAGTTGTAACTGTAATTGTAGATACGATTCCGATTCCGATTTCAATTCAATTTAATTGCGACGACCGCACTTTCTTTGGTCACCTGCGAATTTACAGTTGCTCGCACCAAAACACTAACACACTGCACCACATATAGTATCTGGCATCGGCTATCGGCTATCGGGTATCTATATCTTATATCTTATATCAGCGACCATGCGTCCGGTCGACTGAACGCTCCGCGTGTGTCTGACTGTCTGATTGCGACTTGGCCCGAACGGCGGCCAAGATAACGGACCTTCGCCACTTTTGTGGGGAAAACTTTCACTTTAACGCGGGAGAGCGCGTTCGGGAGAGCCGTGAGCGGTACGTGAGAGTATTTCTATTAGGCGTCGCTTAAATGGTAAACATTTCTAATTCGGCGTCTGCTCGGCTTCTTCTTCAGCCGCTGCTGCTGCTGCTGCTGCTGTTGCTGTTGCTGCTTCTTTTGCCACCGATTCCTGTTTTCGCCGCCTGCTTTCTTTCGCTGCTCTCTCTCTCTCTTATTCGGCGTCCGTACGCGTGCGCGCTTCAAACCCAACTGAATCGGTTTACAGCGCGGCTTTGCGGTTAAGAGCGCTCAGCGATCGCGATCGTGATCCCGATTCCGATCCCGGCTTTACAGTACCGCTCGCTGTTACCGGGATGCGGCAGCCGTTGACGTTGATGCCACCCCAGAAAGACCGCTGCAGCTTTCGCCTGCAGCGATGTAACTGACCGATATACTTAACATCATAAATTGACTACTTTATTTGCATAACCTATATATTAGCATTTAGTTAGGAAAAACGCTTAAAGAATTCATTGAAAATATGTGGTTGCCAGATCCAGGACTTTTTTAATTATGTTCTATTTACTGTTCTCATAAAAATAGTGAAATGACTATCTTTAAATCTTTGGCTTTGATTAATAAAGAGTTAAACAATTTACTTTACAAAGTATACAACACCGTTCTTCCTTTAATTGGTAGATTTCAGCCCACTACTAAAGACTTTAAATGTTTTATAATAATATACCCTAGCACTTCTTTAGTATCATTTAAAACGTTTCTTATTTTACCAATGCAATTAAAACTGACCATAAAATTTGATACCAAATTTTGCTAAAACTTAAAATGATGGTTAAACAAAATTTTAGCCAACACAGAATTTAATTTTTTCGTCTGGAAAATCAAGCTAGGATAGCATCGGATATCTTGAGGAAATCGTTATTTCTTCTATTATTCAATTATTTGAAGTACCTTACTTTTACCCTAGAAATAATATTTGATCTGGCAATCTTTGAAATGTCAAATCTTGAAAGCGCGAATTTTTCCTAATGCTACAGATTCACGTAAATTGCCGCAGTACGCAGCGGGTCAACAAAGGTTATTCCCCCCGCGAGCCTGGCAATTAGTGTCCCGCAAAACACCGGCAAAAGTTGGCGTCCAATAACGGTCATCTGGCAATGGCCATGTGGGCATGTGGCCATGTGGGCATGTGGCCATGTGGCCACTTGCAGCGAGGAGGTGCAACCTGTCGATTGGCATTTCCTTGACCCAAATTTCACTGCGCGCACATGAGACGCGGCTGGAAAATCCGGCGGCTACAGCGGTTTGTTATTGTTTGGCTTTCTTGGCTGGGCTTGGCCTGGTCGGCATTATAATGTCGGGGGTAAACGCCTGACCAGGCTGGCACTGGTACTGGTGGCTGGCCAAGCGTGGACTCCGCTCCGCCATCACGATCTTTTTGTAGAATTTCACTTTCGTTATTGTTGTCGCCGTTTGCCGTTTTTTTTTCCCCCCTGTCCATTTAATGTTTTTTCTGTATATTTTTTCTGTGCATTTCTCGGTGGGTTTTTTGTTTATTTACCCGTGGTCAGCCCATCGAAATGGAAAACGCAGCGAGAGCCGCGGACCCCGACTGATTTGGGCATGCCGGTCACGTGGGTGGTGGAGGTGGCGGTGGCCTGAGCCCGGCCAGAACCAGTTGGGGTTGGAGTTGATGGCTTTCTCATTGAGCTGTCACCAGCCTGCCTCTTCCCATGATTCATTAGACGCGGTATTACGACACCAGAGCCACGAATGAGCCGAATTATGAACGATTTTAAATGATTTTAGCATAATCAACGGTATGGTATCTAAGACAAAGACCCTGCGAAGCGTTGACTTTCTCTCCATTGGCCAGTCGCTCCTCGGACAATGAAGCTGGCCCAAGAAGGTGCCAAAATAAAGCAATAAGAAAACCCAAAAGCGAACTTTTAACAAATGGCAAAGCGGCGAACCCAACGATCCGCACACCAAATGATGAAATTTTCGATGCCATTCTTCGATCGCATCTGCTTGAGATGCCGCCAGCAATTTGACCAGGTTATATTGGGTTATATAACCGCTAGACGAGGGTCCATCTGATAAATCAAGCTTAGTCTACAGCAAAACTTTAACAAAGGAAACAGAATGTAAAACTTGTTTGTTTGTTTTTGAGATAAACATATTAATTAAAAATTTGTTGAGACTATATGCAAGGAAATCTATGTAATTAAAACTTGACTTAGTTTAAATTAAAAGAACTAACGAAAATGAATATATCAAATTAAGAATTGACTGCAATATGTTTCCGCAAAAATAGCCAATTTAAACACTAATATTAAATTATCTAAAAATCAGTATAAATAATACAACCTAATTAAAGTTGCAACTCTAAGCGTAAAAAGCTTAAATTTATATATTTTATAAAATTCATAAACTGACCCATTTAAATATTAAGCTTTTTCAATGCAAATTTCATTGGTTTATCATGCTAATTGCAATGGCCACTTGATTTTCAATTTGCATATAGATATCTTTCAATGATGAGCCGTCAAAATTTCTATTTCACAGCTGGCCAAATAATCTGCAGACTAAGCAGAAATATCGACAGGGGGCTGAGCGATCGATGAAAACATCAGCATAATGATCGGTGAGTGAGCGACAAGTGTGAGAAATTCAATTTGCAAGCTGGCAAAGCTCAATCAGCGGATCCAGAAAGTGAAGGTTCGATTTTGGCCAACATTACAGGGATATTGCCATGTCAACGCCTACCAAATTGCCAATTCGCCGTGTTCCCCTTTGGCTTACAGTTTATTAACTGTCATTAATTTGTTTTTAACGGCGGCGATTGAAAACGAAAGTCATCAAGTTTATAATGCCGGCCCCTTGTGAGTTGGTCAATGGTCTCCAGTCCGTCTGGGCTGGAATTTGTTGTTGGATTAGGATCCAATTAATCAAAATGAGGCGTCGACATGTTTTTTGATTTATTGCCTGCAAATTGAACCAAAAACTCAGTCCCACCTGACGGCGCTTCTTGGGCTTTCCATTTCGCAGCTTCAAAGGGTTCGAACTCCGGAGTTCAGTAGCCCAGCGGATCGGTATTTGGGGATCTGTGACTAATTGAAAAGGCAATAATTTCACTTTTAGCAAGTGGCGAGCCATGTTTGCCCACTAAAGCCAAACAAGACAGGGCAGAAAAGAAACTTCGGCATAATAAATGAAAGTGAGTAGTAGCCAACAGCAGCAAGTACAAATGACATACAGCCAATGATTGTTAAGCCAATGTATGACATGTTGGCGATGACCAGGACAACCCCCCCAACAAATAGATTCCCTGCTGGCCAACAAGGTCTGCTTTTCTAAAACGACAACAAATCACGCATACGCCACCGGTTGACAACTTGCACTTTCAATTAGCGTGTGTCAATGGCCCCCGAAAAAAGGGCCTCCTCGAATCGCGACGCCAAAGGCAACTTGGCTAGATGGTACACCTATGATTTAATTTCGGTTTCTTTTCGCACACCTTTAATTACGCAAATGTTATTCAATATACTGGCAAACGAGTTGAGCCCGCTCGCGATTAGAGAAATGGGCGAAATTTTTGGCACGACTTTCAGGAAAAGCTAAGAGTTTATTGGCTTTGCCATCGTTTTAGTCACATACTTATCATACAAATATTGATTTTGGGGATATATAAATCGGTATTTAATATTAATTATATTAATATTTGTGGCTTTTTATTTTTAAATTATACTAAAAAGTTTTTCAATCTATATTGTATTACTTATTTAATTTAATGATGTAAAGCATTCAGTATTATTGAGCTTTGCAGATAATTGCTTTAAGAAAATCCACATCTAACTTTACTAATTTCACACAGATATTGTAACATATTTATATTTTTTGGAACTGGACCTTTAAGTTTATTAATTTTTATTAAAATTTTTGTTTATAATGTTTTCCCAAGAATAAGATAGACTAATCGAGCACTTTTGGTCTCATAATTTTAACCATTATAGCGGATACTGATCTATAAGATTGTGGTATTAGAATTTGGTTTTTAGTTTAATTTTCGGTACACTTAGTATACAACAAATTTTAAGAAACAAGAGTATTTAATTTTTTCGAACAGCATAGCACTTCTTTATCTTACTTTCTTTAGGCAAGTTAAAATTAGTTTTGTCATGTCATTCTTCTTTCAACAAGACTTGTAGATAAAGAGTATTTATGTTGGAGCTATTTGTTTTTCGCATTTTTTGGCACAAACTTGGTTGGTGGTCGAATTGGCCAGCTCGAGCTTCAGGCTAATTGCACTATTATTTCATTTTGATGCCATTTTAATTTAATTCCATTTGCGCAACGACTTTCGTCTTCATTAGGTCGGTTTTTTTCCGCACATTGTTTGTTTGTTTGGCGACTCGCCATAAAAATTTTGCACCTTTCACAGAATCCATTGGACTTCCGTCACCGTTTTTTCTTTAGTTTGCTTATGTGTAGTTATTTTCTTTTCTTATTTTTTTATTTAGTTATTTATTCGGATGGTAATCAAGGTTTGACTGTGCGTCCATTTAATTGGCGAAAATTAAAAAGGGAAAACATTTTACATCAAAAACGTTTTGTGTAGGCGTCCACCGCAGCTAATGCAATTAATTAGAAAGCGAAACTAAAAAATTCATTTAGATTATGCGAGATGGGCAGAGGCAGCGGCAGCGGCAGAGGGAAAAATGTATAATTTTTTCTTGATAAATGTTGGCCCCAAAACTATATATTTTTACAATTGCCTTCACTTTTTTTTTGATGATGTCCGAAGGGCAAAGGCCAGAAAAAGGTTTACTTTCTGGGAAAGGAAAGGGAAGCCTCGATGGCCTGAGGCCACGGGTAAATGATTTACTTTGACTGCCGGTGAAATGGAGAAGTCTTGAAGGCGGGCGAAAAGTTTACCCAGAGCTTAACGAGTCTCAAAATCGCAATTCTCATGGGCATGTTCCAGACTTCCATATTTAGACATTCGATCGACACACCTGTGAACAAGCGGCTCCCAAATAAAGATCTATCAGAGCCGGTGGCGGTGTGAAGACGCTGGTTGCATCCGAAAGACACTGGGCATCTGTCTGGCGATCGATCTATCAAGATCCGAAGCAGACCCAAGACCAATAATTACCGGATGAGCAGTAATTTCCTACGGGTTACGTTTCAAATGAACTGGCAGGGCCGTCAAATTAATGACCATCTTGAGTTTGGCTCTTGTGCGATTTCATTAAGCGATACCGGAGGAGAGGTGAGAGATGGCTCTTATCCGGGCTACCACCAGAACGGTGGCATTTCCCAGCCCCCACCCCCTTAAATTGAAGAAAGGGAAAATATTGTCCATGAGTACTTTTCAATTGTTTCCATAGATGGGCCTATAAATCTGGAGAAAGATCTTATATTATTGTAGCACTTGGACTTTCGTTTTTTGTTTGCTTCTCAAGTGGCGGCTGCGCCGGCAGTTCCTATAAATCTTTTTGCCCAGAAAATAAGAAATTTCCATTGTATGGCGGAGCTGGGAAAGTCCGAGAGTCGTCATTGTGCATTCGGTTCGGGTAACTGCTCGCGGAGTAGTTGGTGGTCATCTCAGGGCCAAGAAACCCCATGATCTCTGCCTGACACTCGCCCCCTCACTCATTGTGGTCGTGTGTGTGCGGCTTTTGATGATGCTTGAAGCGTTTTAATTGTGCAACGTTTCTTTAGAAATTAAATGCAAGACTCTTCAGTTACTTCATAGCTTTCGTTTTCCATGGGAATGCTCTGGATTCCGTTCGAAAAGGCTTTCCGCTATTTTATTACACTTCGGCCAATAACCATAGTAATAACAATCAAATTTTGCACCCATCTCTTACGCAAGGTGGCGGAAATTTCACTCCGTATTGCATAAAACACACCATAAATAAATAAAGCCATCGAATGTCATAAATCCCCCAATTTGTTGACCAATTAATTCAAATGGAGCAGCATGACCAAAAGAAGATTAAATCGGTTCAATTTTCACTTTCGCTGGGCGCAGTTTTCGCCTATTACTTTGATTCAGTTAGCTAATCGCAACGGAGGATCATCGCCTGCCAGGTAATCCACTAATCCGAGGCCCATTACCGCCACGAATCGCATGTGAAAGTTCAGGCCAAGGATTGGCGCTCCGCTCGTGATCGCAGCTGTTGATAATCCGAACGCATGACCCCCGTCCAAGTACGTGATATCCGTACAAATTATGATATGCCGCTCGCCGAAGATCTCGAGTTGTGGCCACGACATGCACTTGCAACGCACTCGAGGCCCGAACTCTGGCTCCCACACGCCATAAACAATGGCCGGGGGAGGGGGTTGTCATATGCAAATGACCGGCAATTATCAGCCATCAACCGAGAGCGAAAGTTCCACGACATGCCGGCGATTGCAGGGCACTCACAACAACCGCTTGTGTTTATTTCATTATCTTTAAAATAATATTTTAGTAGAAATAACAAAAACTCCACAATTATTGTACAATTATTCTATTGACTCTTTTAAAACCAAACTTGATCTTAAGCTACTTCAAGAGATATCAGATAATTTATAAAGGCATTTTTAAATTGAATTTCTAAATCGGATTGTAATTAAAATTTTGTTGCAACCTGGGAAGCTAAACTTAGAAAGAAAAGCTGTGTTCTGTCTACAACAATATTTGTACTAGTCTTAGACTGTTATTTGTTTTATCTTTTCTGTAATGTTTTTAGTTATTTATAGATGTCTATAATCTTACATAAAAAATAAATACCCAAATATTTTTTCAGTCTGATATTCCTCTAATATCTAGCTAAGGGAAATAATTAAAATTTTAATTTGTTTCATGCAGCCTTTTTAAATATACATATAGCTTAGAAAATTAGAAACAAATAAGAATATACAACTGTAATTTTATTGATATTTTGTATTTGGTATAGACAGGTAGTCTATGTATCACCAAAAATTAAGTTACAATTTGGAATGGATAGGGATCGTACAACTAATGATTTAAATGTTCATTTATGTAACGTACCTAAACAAACTTAACAAAAAAAAACTATCAATGTTTTGTAAAAAAAAAACTTATAAACATTATACACATTTGTCGGTATTAAGTTTATGCCGGCTTCGCGTGTTAATCGTTAGCTACATGTTTCGCATATTTAATAACTTTACATTTGCAAAACAAATTGTGGAAATTTTTTTATTTATTTAAGTCGTGTGCCCGCCCTCCAAGTGAAGAAAGTTTTAAGTTTTGCTTCAGTGGCACCTGCCAGAAAATGTTTGAATCGCTGCGCAAGTTCGGTGCCGTCTCATGCATTAGGAATTCAAAGCCGCAAATTAACTCGGTGCAAAATGAACAAATATTTTTTGTATTTAACAATTTTAAAAAACTGAACTTTTTAGTAAAGCGCTTTTAAGTTTGTGATTCCGGTTGATCGGAGCAAGATGAAATAGAATTTAAAAATGTAATATAAATATATATTGCAGCCAACTTTAAAACTGTTAGCCACAACATGAAGCAATACAATTACTATTTTTACACAAATTTTAAATGAATTCTTATTGCACTGATAGAAAATAATTAGAAATTCAAAAATAAATTAGAGAACAAGTTTAAATATATTTTTTGTAGAAAGCCACAATTATTTTCTTGCGTGTTGGAAAGTCACTTATCCCAGACACTCACCATGTTAATATACCTTTCCAAGACAACAACCATTGTGTATCATCGATAGTTATACGATATTTTTCAAATCTGGCGCCATAAAACATTAGCTTAGCTTAGCTTTTTGATTATTTCTAACTCGCTTAATGTTTAATCAAAATCCATAAGTCGAGTCCTGAGATTTCCATATTGTAACAACTATTTTTAATGAAATTAAATTTATTGTTATGATATCTTAAGGCCGTTTTTTCGTTTTCATGAAGATTGAAGTAGGTTTTAGTGCCTGCAAAACTCGCAATTCGTTCGTCTGATCCAATAGTAATTATACAGATTACGCATTTATAATCATTACTTTCAACTTTAATATAAACAATTCTTATTTTAAACTCAAAACAAGAGTGTTTGCTACCTTTATTTATAAATGATTATACATAATATTAGAAACAATCCCAATCTGTAAAAAAAACGCAGTATTTCTTCATTTGCACTTCATATCACTTTAATAAACTTGTGTAAATCGGTCTAAAATACTGTTTAAACATCATAAAAAAGAATAACAACAAGGACATAGACAAACAGCGTAAAATAAATTAACTATTGGTAAGGCATAACTACAAGTAGTTGGTAGTATCTAGAGTTATCTACGGGTATTTATGTATATACAATTAAGAAAGGGTATGACTTGGCAATGATAAGCGCTTGTGTTAGGCGCTTTTGGTGGGGTGGTAAACGGTAAGAGGGGTTCCATAGGGTCCTAAAATCTAGTTGCCTCTTGGAGACTTTTGGCAGACTATGTCCATACAGAGGTAGGAATGAGGCCCTCTTTACTGGTTCCGGGCGGCGTGAGCACCTCCTTGTTGAGGAACTCCAATGGCAGGTTGACGAGGTAACCCTGAAATGTAAAAGGCACTATTAGATTCTGAAGTCAATAAACAATTATGCTTAGGCACGTTTTTTTTGACTTAATAGTAAAGTTATAAATTGCAAAATTTTATAGGATTTATTAGTTTAAAACCTACTTAGAGATTACCATGAAGATAGGAAAACGTGTAGCAATAAAACAACATATTGCAGAATCTCAAAAAAAAAAAAAAAAAAAGAGAGACCTTAATCGAGTACTATACCTGAATTTCGTTAGCTCGGTTGGCGGCCAGTTCGGGATCCGTTTTGGCAAGCGGCGGCTCCTCCTGGTACTTGCGCAGGCTGGCAAAGGTCTTCACAAAGTCCGTGGGAATGCACTTAAACACCTCGTCGTAAATCTCTGTGTTCCGTGTCGAAATCCTACGCCAAGTGCCGTGCCAGAACTTGTCGCAGATAGGATCACTGATGTCCAGATCAGAGCGACCGGAACCCTCGCCCTCCAGCAGGCCTGCATTAAGAAGATTTTCCGATTAATATGATAGTCGAGAATAAATCCAAGGCAGATAACCCACCCAAGTGTTCTTTGAACAGATATTTTCGCAGACGTCCGGCAAACACTCCGCTCGGATACTTCTTCCCGTTCATCCGGCCATCCTCGAACTCCTCGTCCATGATGATGGCCGCTATCTCAGAGTCCCGCTTCCCGATCATCGAACGATCGTTTATGTTCGCCGAGCCACATATCACCACGCGATCATCGGCAATCAGGAGCTTCGAGTGCACATAAATCAGCTCGGTGATAGGCGTGTTATTCAAGAAGGAATGATTTCGCAGGCTGTGGAATGAGATGTAGTTCTGCGGATCAGCAATACCCGCCTCTTGCAGGCGATTCAAAATTGCAGTGCGCCCCCTAGAAAAATAAAAGATTATTAAACAATGTTCGGATTTAACAAAATCGACCTTTCGGTAAAACCTCACCTGGAAATGGATGCGTAGTTCCAGTGTGTGATGGCCCTGACAGCAATTCCAGTACTGCCACCCACGTCGCCCTCAAAACCCGGCAGAAGTGGCATTATCACATAAACACGGAAGGGCTTTTTTTCCCTAAGAAATGGAAGTTATATATGATTGATATTAGATAAGTATAATGGTTAACTTACTTGTGCGCCCGCACTATCCTCTTAAAGAGAGTCTCCCCAATTTGATTGCGGACGTTGTTGTGCGGACCCGGAACGCCCATGCCCAGTTGCATGGTAATGAAAAACTGGTTCTCAATGTACACGTAGTGCTGCGCCTTGGTGATCGTCTGGATGTAGGCGTCATGGATGCTTTGCTCTACCAGATCCGCCTCGATAAAGCCACAACTCCAAGCGGAGACGCTGCGCAGGAGCTGGCAAGTGACCCGCTGTTGGCGGCCCTGCTGCAGGTGGGGGTTAAGCCTCACTTGATGATAGCTCTTTGGAATTAGATAGGGAAATCGTGTGTTATCTCGCAGTTTCTCCAACTTCATGGCGTTCCAGCGCTGGATGAAGTGGCGGGCCACGTCCCTGGCAGAAGCTCCCACCACACACAGACCGACGTCGTGCCATGGCATCCGCGGCGTGGTCGTCCGATCGATGATATCCACGAATGGCGAGTTGAGGTTCATCCAGTCCTTGAGTATGAAGTTGGAGTAGTCCTTGCCGAACCAGTATTTGGCTTGGCCACAGAACTCGGTGAGTATTTGCGTGCTGCCGGCAATAGCAGTCGCTTCCTGTCCGCCAGAGGCACTGTTCTGGTTAATCTCGGGGTCCGTGACGTCCTGGGACTCGATGGTGTAAACCTCGTCGGTCTTCTCCTCCGCCGTCTCCGTGGTTGTGAGACGTTGCATAAAGTCCTTGCCCATACGTGCACCCTTCATCGCGTTGTTTTTCAGGCGATCAAGTACGTTCTTGCGTTCCAGTTCTGGGGTGTTGAGCTTCATTCCCTCCAGAGCAATGTTCGATTCCCCGGGCGTTTCTCCCTGACTAGGAACCAACATAGAGGGTATTAGCAGGCGATCACCAGGCTTCAGGGTCCTCAACTCTACGCTGGTACTGGGTTCATCCGGAGGTGGAGTCGATGACCTCTCTTTGGCCGATGTCTCGTAGTGAGCATTCCGCGAGGACTTACGCGATCCGAAGGCCGAGTCCGTGTCGTCCTTGCTGAAATACAAGCTGGGCGTCCGACGTGTGCTGCCGGAAAAGGAGGCCGTGGATATGCTGCCCAGATCCGTGAGGCGGTGACGGTGATCGTCCCAGCGACCGTAGCACAAGTCAATGCCTCCCATGAAGGCATAGCTCTGATCGATTACAACGATCTTTTCATGATGAGCCCACAGCAAAATACCGCCTCTGGCATGGTCCGGATGTCGCATCACCTGTAACGGGCAATCGGAATTTAGATCAAAAATGTGTATAGTAAACTGAAAGAACATAAAATACCAGCTGGAATTTTTATTATTTAGAGACCACCAACAAAAAACTAAAGTTCGACATCTATAACTCAAAATAGGACAGATATATAAAAATCTTCTTAAAAGGAAATTATTTATACAACTTCCATGGCGGATACGCCTTTCCAACTTTTGAAGTAATGTAAATCTTTACAGGTTACCAAAACTTATATTATGTAGCTCTATCAACCCACCTTGATATTCTCGTGCTTGGCCAGCGTGGACTTGCTGTAGTAGCTGTTAATGCCCAATGCCATTTCGACCTCCTTGTAGAGCAGCACGAACACACGCACTCCTTGCTCGGCCTTGCGCAGCAGAATCTTGTCCAGGCGCCAGTAGTCGCCGTCTAGGGCGGGTCGCTTCATGTAAATCTCGGGGCTGAGCCACCAGTCAGCGATGTAGATCTCCTCGAGGGCGGCCTCCAAGCCGTCGGCCACGGCTGACATGTACTGGGCTCCATCCACGTACCACGTGGCATGCATGTTGGCACGCATTGGGGCGAAGGACATGTGCGGATTGGGCAGTGTGAAATCGCGAGCATACGAGTTGGCCGTGTTCTTGAGGTACTGCATCCACTCCTTGCACTTGCGCCGTGTCCAGCACTTGAGCACAATGTGCCGGTTGTTTGTCAGCACCTGCAGACCCTTGCGCATGCCGGTTTGGTAGATCCCAGTGGAGACATCGAAGCCCTGATCGAAAAGGATCACCGCTCGAATGCTACCGTCCGTCGGGCGAATGTAGCCGAAACAGGTCTCCTTTACGAAGAACCAGCGGCTGCGCCACGTGCCGCAGACCACGTCGGAGCAGAAGTAGTTGCAGCGCACACAGCAGTTCTTCTGGAAGCAGCCGAAAAAGTTGCATCCCGCTTGTCCGGGTCTCGTTGATCCTGTCCGCTTTAGGATCACGCCTTCCTTTCCCTTGATACCCAAGCCCGGCACAAACGACACGTTAGACACCTCAGCGAAGTTAAGCTGTAAGTAAAAATATTTAATTTAGTCCAGTTTTAGCCCCAATATTCATCATTGCTCTCTTCCAAAATATGTTCGCATATATTTACAAAGATACTTTCAATTTTGTATACCCACAAATATTTTATTCTTATTTAAATTGTTCCCGTTGGCCAAATAGTATGAAAAGGTTTAAAAGAATAGGGCAGTTTAAATGTGAAATAAACATATTTTTTGGACCCCTACTTTATCTATAGCAAACTCTTATTTTATCTTGTCATATCAGCATTAACTGAAACCTCAAAAGTTTGTGACAATAAGATTGACATTTCCAGGAAACGGAAAAAAACTTTTAACGTTTGGCTTATTTTAAGAGATTTTTGTGTCACCCGATAAAGTTGAATGATCTTTTATGCCTTTGAAAAAAAATGTACTTGCGCATATCTTTCTTTGTTTGTGTACAATTTAAACAGGATCATTTGAGTTTTTTTTAAATCCGATGACTGATCCTACAGCTTTTATATTTGGGGTTACACAAAAATCTCAGGAGATAACAATTGTACTTCATATTTACATTCCCACCGAGTTTTAACATTAAAAATTCTCGATTGAATTCTCTCTCTACAGGGTTTATTAAAATATTTAGCCAAATTTTAGTCGAGTTAAATCTGAAATGTTTTCCGACATTAAATTAATATCTTACCGTTTCGTGGTGAGATCGGTATAGACTGATGTTTAGCAAGTTATATAGGTAATCCTCCAGCTGCTTGATCCTGACGGTCAGATTCTCCACGGTGACCAGACTCTCAGGGCGATTGGGAAATCGCGGTAGCTTCCGTTTTTTCTTTTTCTTCCGCTTCTTTTGAATACGTCGGGGTGTAAATCCCGCCAGGATCGAACTGTGACTGGGACTGATAATAGCCATTGCATTGTGACCGTTACTATTGGCGTTTTTGCTGCTGTGGCCTTCACCACCCAAGGGAGTGCTGGTCTGCTTGACCTTGGTGTGGGCAGACAGATCCTTAAGGGTTGACTCGTCGGCCATCTGGCTGGCAGTAGCTTTCAGCGTCGTACGCTTCTCTTTGTGACTTCGACTGGGAAAGGGAATGTTGAGCGAGGTGCGGAAAAAGCTGAGTTGCTGGTGCAACGAGTTGAAGTGCTTGTAGCGTCGCTTGATCGTCCACTTGAAGGGACCGTGGGTCAGCTCGATGGTGTACCTGGAAGAGGAATAAAACGTGTCAGAACGGCTTAAACAAAAAGTTCAGTAACATTGTGAATTTAGAGGAAATGCATGCAATCTAAAGAACAATGTATTCCACTTACAGATTAGGATTAAGCAGATGTGTTGTGACGCTGCGTTCAGTATCGACAATGCGGACGTGGATTTCCCGGCCCGGAATGAAGACCTTGCGCTGGAAGGAGTTAAACTTGACGCTCGGGCCGTAGATACTGGTGAATGGTATCTCGTGGCGCAGCACTACACTGCTGTTCTCCTCGTCGTCGAACTCCTCCTCGTCATCGTCCGTCTCCTTGCGTTCCACCAGCACCGGCTTGTCGCCCACGTTGGACAAGATGGTCACCGAGTCTGGAAATGCCAGAGTCTCATCGTACTCAGAGTCGACCAGTGAGAACTGAAACTCGGGCAAGCAGCGGTTTTGCTGCTCGTCCACAGCGTCATCCGTGCAGTCCCGGAACACCTCTTCACCCTCATTGTTGGAGTCCTCCGCCGAGGCATCCGCTTCACCGCTGCCGTGCTCGACGTCCGAGTCGGTAGATGCGTAGGGCGGAAGGGCTGCTCCCCCGCCACGAACCTCTGCCATCGCCTCGAATTGGGCAAAGTAGTAGGAACTATCTATATCATCGTAGCCTCTGTTCACGTACCCGCCGTAGTGCGTGGGTCGGTACACATCGTCCGTGGGGTGTTCAACTGCAAGTTGACAGAAGCAGTGGTTAAGAATCAGAAATACAGCAAATATAAATACATCAGACTTATTGCATATCTAATTAAAAGAAAAAAGATTCTACTATCAAAATTTAGCAGGAAGGAAGGAGAGTACCTCAGGTTTCCCTTCTTGATTGCCTGTTGCAAAAACAAAAACAAAAAACAAGACTTTATAGTATTAAATAGCAGTCGTAGGGTATATATATATATATTCAGCCCACGTAAATGTCTTGGTAAATGATTAAGGTTAAGCCTTTTTTCTGAAACAATTTCAAAAACATAAAAAAAAAAAATTTTTATTTTTATAGTCTTCTTGAGGTTTTAAAACGCCAGTGTTCATTTTTAAAAGTTATCCTTCAAATTCAAAATTCCTTAGATCTCGATTTTGACACAAATGCATTAGAAAAGCTTCCTTTTCCCTATTTCATAATTTTGCAAAAATCAAAAATATATATTTAAGTTTAAAATACTTATTATTTTCAATAGCTCATATTATAAGAACAACAAAATATTATCCACGTAATAGTATCTTGTATTAAGAGAGTTCACTTTAATATGTTTACTATTAACAAACAATAATAATCCCATATTCATACAAAATATTTGTAATACAGATGCGGTTATGTGTCAATCGCCAAAAGCTTTATCAATGTTTACTTGACTTTTAAAAGAACCTCCCGGCTTTTCAATTAGCTAAAATTACATTTCGTGCCTCACTTAAAGTGTTGAATAGACTACCACAAGTTACAAGTATGCACTTATCGTTTCGTTATTTAACCACAGGCCTACTGATAACTTCGTTGAGTGCAAGGGGATTTCTGAATTTCGAGCCGAAGTATTTCTGACTTCCCTTAACCTCTGTAAGTTGTAACCATTTAATCGTAACAATTAGCTTATGCTATCTCCATTCGAAACAGAAGCTCACTCAAGGCCAGTTCACGGCATGTGTTGTAGTTAAGCTTAGTTTATTTCATTTCAGTACACCTCTCGGGTGAACTTGACATAGGAACCCTGCTCGAACCTTGAGGCTATTTCGAGCTAAATAAACTCAACGCCATCTCCCTCCCCATTTATATACGTAGCTATCTCTTTAGTTAAGTGCACGTGAGTCGTCTGCTGGCTGATAAGAAATGACAGGAGGATCTAAAAAGTTTTATGCACAGTTCCGAGATAAAGATCAACCATATAGCTTGTCCCTAGGTTCTCCTCTTTAGCACCCCAACAATAATTTTTAGGTCAGAAATACGCTTCTAGCTGAATGACATTTAGATAGCGAGCTCAAATAAAACGGCGCAACTGATAGATTAGAGTATACTGCACAGTAGGTAGAACCGTATATTGATGGTTAAGTGGGTTTATGGATGTGGCATTGCTTCACAAAAGAGCACAGAGAAAAGTGCGTCCCGCTATCGCCGACAGTAATAAACTACATAAATCAGTATTTAGTCAAGTACTTTGATTAGCAGTCAATAACAGGTGTCCCTTACACAGACATATTGTATTCCTGTCTGCTGGATACCGAACCCCAATTGCTAGACAAATATTTGTACTTACAAAAAATGTATAAAATAGTAATTTAGTTCATGGTCGACATAAGGGCGTTTTTAATGATAGCAATTGAATATTAATTAAAATCTATTGAAACCTAATTATTTAAATATTGTTAGAAGCGAATCAATCATAATTGAGATATCGAAAAAAAACTAGGACACCGAATACAAAAGTTTTGACAATTGCTTAATGGCATTGATGGGATTACAACCCTATCTTCATTGGTGAGAAACTGCCACAAACAAGACTTTTTTTATGGCAGGTTCGTCTGGCAGCCATACATTCTTGAAAGTATAAATTCGTTTTCTTTGAGGTAGCGAAAATAACGAATGTTGGCATATACCTTATCGCCGAGCTCTTTTTGTTATCAGCTTAAAATAATTACCAAACAAAAACTTCATGCACCAAGTGCCAGAAATAGGTGTTCTTTGTATAGCTTGACATTTCTTAAAAGTGCGATAAAACACGGAATTTAAAATACCTTTGAACTGATAAACGGTTTTCTTAATTAGTAATTGGTTCGATAAGTTCAATTTAGAAAATAAATTAGCTAAAGATTGCAAACAAATATTATTGGACCACTTCTTATGTCATTAATGAGGGTATAATAAAGCCTAACAGCCTATTCAATAAAACTCTTTGAGTGCTTAACACCTTTTCACTTTCATAGCGCGTTCTTTGCTGAATTTATTAACACATACGTAAAGTTGAGTAAATTAACTTAAAGAGCTCTAAAATTGGTTGATAAAAAGCTGACACTTTTTTTTACCATTAAGATAAAATGAATAAGTATTAAAACGAAAAATACATAAATACGTATTTATCTGGAAAAACAATTAGCAAAATACAAACTGAAAGAATGTCGAGGTTTTTTGAGGGTGCCGATTGTAATAAAAATACCCGATAACATTATTTTAGCGTTACTTCATTTTTGATAAGGATTTCAAATGAAAAAGATTGTATATATGGGAAAAGTTTCTAACTTATATTTGTATTAAAGAAAGAACTTCAGCTTCTGTTAAAGGAAAATTGTATTTCTATCAATAGAAAAAACAAAATTATCAGTAACTTAAGAATTAATCAAATATCATTTTTACTACGAAATACAAAAACACTTAATCTTTCTCAGGAATGTTGAAGCATTGCTTGAATGCTATCTCATATACCTTAACATAAAGTTCAAAGCCCGATGATAACAATTGTAAAGCCCCTTTGTTTAGCGGGCTTCCTAATCGAAGTGTAACTGCAAAAATCAGTCCCCCTGAAAACCCAACGAACGAGTATTCCATCTGACCTACACACAATGCCGAAGAAATCGAAACTTCCTGCTGCAGTATTCGAGTGTGAGTGCAAATGTAAATCAGGCACAATATATATTTTTAACATTATGGGTAAGTATCGTTGATTTTAGCGTGTCATGCATTTTAAAATCGGTTATGACTCATTTACTAATGGCACCGTTAGGCGGAGAGCCAACACGCAACTTGAGGGGCATGGAGTTGGATGTGGCTTATATAAACCAAAGGAAATGGTTAATGTTTTGTTAATTTATTATTAGGCCAATTTAACCGTTATCAGTTCTTTGTTGTCTATACAATTTTGTTTTTCCTTGGACTGCACCCTAATATTTAACACTCCCTTGCCTGTGCAGAATCAAATATTTAGTTTTAAGTTTTTAGATTCACTTTCGCGAATCAAAGTAGATCGCTAACCAGTTCTAAAGGCTGATTATATTCCACAAACTGGTTTACTCTTATCTCCCGATGACGCAAATCTCGCGAACTCAACGCGGCGCAAGCTCTATTATAGTTATCTATGTATCTCTATCTGAAGATGACATTACCCATGCTGGCCATCAGCTGTGAGATGCTGCGGCGATGACGTCGCACCTGCAAATGCTGCAGGTTGGCCGCCACCGCCGCCTCCGGTGGCAGATGCAATTGCTGCGATTCGTCTTTGTTGCTGGTTTTGGTATCCGCGGATCTGGGCATCATTGTTGAATGTGCGTAATTTTGATGGGCAAATTAAGTAAGCTTTATTTTATATTTGGCTATCGCTTTTTGGTTTTATTGGTCCCTGCTTTTGTCGCCTCCAGCTCATTATTGCTTTTGCATCCGCGGTCTGCATTTGTAAACGTTGTCGGTTCTGGGCGGCCTGCGGTGGCTAATTAGGCCAGAAATAATAAATACCGCATTTGCGTACACCAATTGATTGAGGGAATGACTAATTGATGTGCCATGAAGCTATAGCTGTTCTGCGCCACAATTAATAAATTCGACGAACTATTCAAATCATTTGTTTAAAATTATTGCAACACAAAATTTATTAAAATAACATTGATCTGCATATTTTAGAAATTTTAAGTTTCGTTTAAAATGTTTTTGTTTGAATATTTTAGTTATTTTTGCAAATTCTACTCATAATTTGTATAAAATGAGACATTCTTTAATACGTTCTTTATTTATTTAATTTTCTATGCTTGGTTTTCATTTTAAAAGTAATGATAAGTAAACAAAAAAAATGCTCCCATCCCAGTACATTTTTATCGAATTCTATAAGTTAGTCTATATACTTCCGGCCACATCAAAAATCCCTTGGATTGAAAAATAATTAATTAAATTTTTATCATGGCATTTCGTTATCTTTGCGTAAACACAAAACTCGACTTTTGCAAATACAACAAAAGCACTGAATGTTTCGTGTGTTGTTTATATTTCATTCGTTTTTGGCTTTTGGCGCTTCCAGCTCATAAATGTTTTGCACAATAGCCTGGTAAACGAACACACGCACAAATTATTTGGTTATTTTTCTGCTTTCGCATATTTCACTTTTGGCACTTGGCTGCATCAAAGTAAAATGGCTCGCATCGGTAATTGTTGCAACATGTGGGCTTTTTGAATCTTGGCCGCGTCTTAAATTTGTATCTCACAGATGCATATCAAGTTGGAGAGAATTGTCACGTTTGCGTGTGATAAGTAGCATTTTTGTTTACTTTTCGGACCACCGACTAACGGAAGTTGCAGAACCGAAATTAGCGCGACGTCGCATTAAATTCGCCAAGAAAGAAAGAACGAAAGAGGGAAGTGCCACGCGAAAGCAAGAACAAGACTGAAGACACCTCGCACTCACACTCACACTCAAACTTGGAGCCCCCGCCAAAAAGCTCTATTTACCGCCAAACGATCTGCGATCCGCGAGAAACGTTGCGACAACGTTGCCGTCACTCCGGTTAATAATATTAACTAAACTTCGCGCTGCCGGCCAAAGCTCAAAACGGTTAACAATTACGGCAAGAGAGCGTAATCTTGGCAAGAGAGAGAGAGAGTGAGAGATAGGGAAGAGAGCGGAGTTTTCTGGCCAACAGCTGCGAACTTCAAAACAGCTGGCAAAGCTTTTGGTAACTCTCCTAAGCCTTTGGCAATGTGATTTACTGAAAACCTTTCCACGATCTCAAGATCTTATAACAATTCTATCTCTGGGGGTTTCTGGTTACAAGGTCATCTCATTCACAACCCCAAGGAACCAGTTCTCCTGCGGAATGTTGCCATAAGCTTTTCAAAGCTTTCTGCGGGGTTCACAAACCTTTTGAAAATGCTGATCGAGTACGGGTTCTATTGGCGAACCAGCAACAATGGTCGGAGAGTCAGTCGAGCACCTACCACCATTTCGATGAGTCACATCACCACTTATAGTCGGCATGTAACTCTGTTTTGTATCTATTGTCGGCTATCTTATCAGCACCACAATTCTCAGGCGCAATCGCTGTAATCAGGCACTCATTATTTGAACGACCCCAATCAGCTGCGCCGGCTAAATAAACCGAATTACAATTATGCTTTCGATTAGATTGGCCCACGCGGAAAACCTAAATGTCAACAACATAATTGATTGACACCTCCTCGGGGTCATAACTGAAAAGATATAACATTTAGATTGATAAGGTAACTTTGCATGAAATATTAGTTCATAGATATATAAAAAAAAGGTAAACTAATTCTATTCAATTATTTTTATTTTTGTATTCAATCTCTGCCCATTAGCATTATATGTTAAATGTTGTTATGAATGTACGTATGTAAATCTCAAAATTAATTTACTTGTGGTTTAATGATACCGATTAAAAAATAAATCAAATACAATTAACAAAAATGTAGTTTTCTTTTGCTGTTCTAAAAGCTCGAGGTTTGATTATTTGAATAGAAATAAGCTAAGTCACACTTGCTAAGTATAATGTCAGATAAGATAAGTGTATAAAGACTCCACGCCAAACATTAAATATACAGTACATATAAGCTTTATTATTCGTTTGAAATTACTATTACTTTACTTGTCTATATTCCATATTCATAAAAAATAATATTTATTTTATGGGGTGGGAAATGGTTCTTTTTACCTTTAACTAAAGGTCCGTTGGGGCTTTTTCCCTTCCCAACTCAAAGGATTGTTAATTTAATGGCTTAATTAGACTATGTATTAATATATGCTTCCGGTTGTTTATCATGTTTTGTTGACTTTCAAAATTGATAACCGTACTCGTACTCATTTCTTAAAAGTACTATGAGCGGACATCATAAGACACAATAAATTATTGCTATTATAAACTATAAGATAAGTTGCTTTTGTTCTTCATAATTTAAACCATTGTATCAATATTTTTAAACAAATCTAGTAGGTTTAAAAATATGGTAGATTCACATATTATATAATATATATTATATTTTATACATATATACAAAATACCGTTTGCACTATTTTGCTTAAGTTTGATACTCGGTGGTTTTATTCATGTTGCTCTTACGCTATATATACTGTACGTTCAAGTTATACACGCCCATGTTTTTCGCCTGGAATATGTCGGACTCTTTATGTAAATTTGAGTGGCGGTTCTAGAATAATGTAGTTGGTTGAGAAATTGCATCTTGTCGTTGCAAAAGCTTTAATAAATTGTGAAGCAAGAGCAGTACGTTGCGAGAATATTTCAAAAGCATTTGTATATCCCCATTCTTATATTGTATTTATTGCTTCCTTATCACTTTCGATATCGCTTAGATTGAAATCGAAAAAGTCACATGCAGTGGGTTTACTTACACGCACTTTCTTTAATACCCCTACCCGTAAACAAAGCGTTTTAAGAGCCATTTATGCAATATTTGCTTCCACTTGACGGTAAATGAGGAAATCATTTGAGTTTATTACTTTATTATCACTTACGTAGTGATTTGCGCAGAACGATGAAGACAATTTAAATTCGTAATCCGGTATCAGAAGTTGTGCCTCAACTTCTCCAGCTCCGACTCCTAACTGTACAATGACTCAGACACAGTTACATCCAAAAACTTGGGCAATGGGTTGCATATATTTACAGATATATGTATATATCCGACTTAACACTATGATAATTAATGCAATAAGAGCAATTCAATTGGGGCGCCACACGAACACGTTACGTTGTACACATAGGAAAATCAATTTAAATATATTAAAATGTTAATCAATAGCACACACACTTCGGTCCCGCACTTTTTTTTATTAATTTTGAAGGAGACCTTCTTGGCAAACTTGAAATCTTTGCTTGTGACTATTTTTGTTTGTTAAGAGAGCGAAACTGAGCGACCAGCGTCGTCAAAAGTCGAATTGGAAACTGAGTAAAACGCCAGACGATCGTGCAAAAGTGATCGATTAGCACAGATTTCTCACTGGAAGCGAGAGAGGAGAGTCGCAGAGGGTTTCTCAGAGAGAAAGTGACCTAAGCTTGGCACGCGTTCTTCGGATTTCAGCTGTCTCAGTGTTATACATTTATTACTTTATTCATTACTTTTAATGAACAATTGCCCAAAAATGGCCCTTTCTTCAGATTTTCTTGTTTAATTTCAATTAAAACATGCCCGTCTCGTTCGTCGTTTTCCACGCTGCACAACTCACTTCACTGATTGACGGCCGACTGGCATTTTGAGAGTGAGCTTTCGCCTGGAAAGCTTGATAATCCGAACGAGACACACAACCAAACGCGAGTCGATCGAACAGCTGATTCTGCAAACTGTTATACGAAGCTCAAACTTTCCACTGAGCCGTTGTAATTTAAAATCTTTCCACAGACAAAATACAATGGTTGATCTAGGATCCTCATTTAAACAATCCCCTTTGCTTAAATCTTTACCCAAATAAAAAGCATTTTGGACCAAATTTTCAATATAATAATGTTTATTTTCTATATATAGATATCTGTTTTAATTCTTTCGACTACATTAATTTTCATTTTCTCAGAAAAAAGTAAAATATTCCATTAAAATGTTTCAAAAACATAGCAAAGATAAAACTCATAAGTTTCGCTTACCCCTTAGAAGGTGGAAAAGGTTAAAGATCGGTTCTTGCTATTGATCAAACTTGAAATATAATGCTACACTTGCTTAGCTATAACCATAGTCTTCAACCTAATGTAAATAATTGTAAGCATTCTCTCACTTGCTTAAGGCTAAATGTAATAATGTATTGTATTTTCTTTGCTTTGCCATTGTGTTTATTTTATTTCATTTTTGTGTTTGCATTCCCTTGTAGCAGTTTAATATTTTTGCTTTGCCAAAATGTTAATCAAAAATAGTTTAATTTCATGGGATTCTTTCACGTTTCCTAAACATTTTATAGCACAATATAGTAATATTATTTAAAGCTACAGCTTGTCGTATGTGTGAGTGTTGGTGGGTGTGTTGTATATGAATGAATATACGTGTGAGCGTGTTTGTGTTTGTATTGCTTATGGTGGATTTAAAACTAGGATTACAATTGAACTGCCAACAGGATCAAATCAAGTGTTCACTATAAAGCATTTTAGCAAAAATGATTAGCCTTATCTATAAAGATTACAATATACCTAAACACATGCATCTCTGTTCAAATTGTATATATAGATCTGTATATATTTGTATATATATTCATTCCATTAAATTACAATATATAAAAATATATACGCACATTATACCATAGAAAATCATAAGCGTCTCGTTTACGGTTACATTGAATTTTTTTCTTTTCGAAAACCTCTTGTGGTTTTCTTAAGTTTTTTCGATTTTTTCGTTTTTTTTCTTTTTGACACATTTTTCCTGTCTAAACCATCCCTATTCTAGGCATCCGACAGATCACAATAGGCTACGCCACTAGTCCCTCCGCCAGTAGATGACTTCTGCTCATCGTCCATGAGGGCGTCCACAAACTCGCCGGCTGCCTCGTGGTGGTTCACCTGCGGCGACGAGGAGCTCTCCCCGCAATTGGTGGCGTACACATGCCGTCGACTTCCACTGGGCGGCTGGTTGGAATCATCCGTGTCCGCATCGCGAATCGAGTTGAACGCATTGCAGGCGTTGGCGTTCGGCGAGCAGGTGTCGTCGTTGGGCGGATAGACGTGCCGATGGTAGCTGCCGCCCCCACTGCCTCCGCCCCCGCTGCCATCGCCATCCAGCTCCGCTTCGCGCACGCTTCCGAATACCGGCGTGTGCGAGCTGCTTTTGCGCAGCGATGCAGGCGGCGACCAGACGGTCTGGTAGAGCGGAGAGGCGAACACGTACATGTGGTTGAGATACTCCATGTCGTAGCTGGGCTGGTATGAGTCCGTCTCCAAAGGGTTGTATGTTGGCTGGTACATCGGCGTCTGCCGGCAACTGGCTGAGCCCGAGGCGCTGCCTGCGTAATGCGGAGTGTCGTAGTTCTGCGACCGACTGGAGCTGCTGAGGTGCAGCATGTGAGCATGCCCACTATGGCTACCGCCAGCACTGCTTCCGCCGCCGCCCATCCGATGGGCGGGAAGGGTTGCGTAGATGCCGCGATACGCCTCATAGGGTGTCTGCGGATAATAAGCATCGCTCCAACGCACATGATTCGGTGTATAATCTCCTTTCGCATACAGCTACAGGGAGGAAAAAATAAGAGGCAATCGTTAGCTATGCATTCACTATCCGACTTCAGTCATTACTCACCTGGATGGGTCGGCAGAATCCCTTGTTCATGTGCCGGGGCACACCGAGTGTATAGCTGTGGCTGAATCCCACCTCCGAGCTAAGTAAGTACTCATGGAACTTGTTGGGAAAGAACTCGATCTGCTTGTAGTTGTTGTAGATCTCTGGCTGCAATGATAGAAAAACATTATAATGTGAAGTTCACTAAGGAGAAAAATTAAGAAGGTGGGCAAGGTGCTCTGTTTATTTATGTTTCAAAACAAATCATCTTATTCTTTCTTATCAATATTCACTCACCGTCAGGTTCTTCTTTTTCTTGTAGCTGGCCCAGTTTTGTGCTTCTAGTATAAGCTTTCCACCGGGACGCAGCTGATTGAACATCCGCTTGAAGGCCATCTTCAAGCCGTTGTCTCCAAAGTTAAGATGGATCCACTTGGTAACCGAGAGACACAATATGAGATCGTATTGCTGCGAATCGTTGGCCATTAACGATTCGTCCTTGAGCACATAGTTGGTGTGTCTAAAGAAGACGTTCGCCGGGAACTGATTCTTGTTGCCGAACATGTTGGGCGATTTGCTCGATGGTGGCAGATGAGGAATTCCTCCGTAGATCAGCGGAAACGAGATGGGGAAGAATTCGTGCGGCTTGACAAGCAGTGCGTCCAGCTTCTGCTGCTGCTGCAGCTGTTCTATATCATGATGATGATGGTGGTGATGGTGATGATGATGCTGGTGAAGTGCTTGCTGAACTTTTCGTCGCTTCTTTCCGCGTCTCGTTTTCTTGTGAGCCGATCCCGAAGCATCTTCTTCGTCCACGGGTTCCGTCTTTTCCGCCGGCGTTAACTCTGCCTTCACTTCCAGCGTCGGTTCCACCTTGATTTCTGGCACCTTTTCCTCCTTGGGTATGCGCACATAGATCGAAAGATTTCTCCGGGCCCGGGCAACCAGCTCTCGATCGATGTCAATGCCGACAATGGTTTTCGGCGCCAAATGCCTGCCCACCGTAATGGTCATGTGGCCAACGTTGCAGCCAATGTCCAGGATGTCCTTGTTCTGGAACAGTTCCACATGGCGCTGGAAAACCTGCAGGCGCACATCCCGGAACTCGTTCAACTGCCGAAAGTCTACGTATCGATCGAAGTTTCCGTACCGGTACTTTAGCCCATCAGCACGAAACTTGGGCATCACTTTGAGTGGCGGAATCAGAGCTGGCTCCAGCATTAGACTGCTGGTCACTGGTGCCAAGGCCGCCGTAGACGCTCCGGACGCCACGGACGCTGAGGCATCCGCCATGCTAGTGTCCACCCCGGCCAGGGAATCCTGCTCGCCAGCCGTGTGGGAGGTTGCCGCCGAAGTGGTGCTCAGCGGGCTGCCCAGACCGTGTTCCGGCAAATCGGGCGTATCATCACGGGGTATTTCCACTGCAAAATCGAGAATTCTTAATTTAATCGGGAACACTATATCAGAGATAAGCGGACTCACCTTCGATGAGGGGCAACTGCTTGGGCGGCACCTCCTCGACGGGACTTAGCAACTCCGATTCGCTGAAGGACGTCGACCGGCGCGAGTTGGGTTTCCTGGCTCCGCTGGGCTGCAGGATGCGCGGTGGCCTCTTCCAGGCGCCTGGTTGCGGAACCACCGGACTGACGATTTTATCCATGGCATCGTGTCGATGGAATTTCTGTGAAAATGGAGGAAAGTAGACAAACTGGTTTGAGTGCCCGTTGGTTGTGTGAGAAGTAATGCCATTAATATTAAATCGTGCTGGGGTTGTTTCTGCCTTGAGGACGCTTTCGTAAAATTACCCATGACATTCTAACCTTAATCCGAAAAAGCGAGAGAAAAACTAAGGATGTTTTGGCTGAATAAACCGAAGATTAGATACCTTGTTATAAACCAATATTCAATTTTAGTTTAAAATTCTGACGAACTCACATTACTTGAACCACTGACAATTAGTTTTTAAACGAGAAAGGTAATTTTCTCGGCAGGTCAAAGTTTATATATTCTTGAATTTATGTAGAAACTTAATTAGTGAATTTTATCAAGATTGTTTAAAAAGAGCTTTGGGATTAAGACCACCATCTGTGGCGTCTTTATACTTGATGTTTCTGCACGCATAAGATAAGCGAAAGTGGCAAGTCAACAGTCAGATGGACATACAGGATTATATATACTTTATAGGGTAAGAATGGAAAACCCTCTTCAAAGGTAAACAAACCAGTTGAACTTAAAGAGACTTCGGGTTATGAAGGGTACAATTGAACGCATGTGGTGGATATTTAAATCTATTATTCTTAATAGCGATTTGAATATATAGAAACCAGACTTTAAAATAATTAAATAATCGATCTACTGTTCAATTGTTTTTAGCTATTATAAATATTCAAATTTAATTATAGAAAGTTTAGTCGGGTTTGAGGTTCTGGGGGATACCTTTACATATACCCTCGTTTAACCGGTGTAAACACAAAAATAAATTGGCAAAGTCAAAACGCCGAAATGGGGAAACGGAAAACTGCCAAAAGCAATCAAAACAAAAACAGCGATTGACTTGCTGCCAAACCGCAACAACCCCCCTCTAATTATCTCTCTCTCTCTCTAACTAGCTTGCCTACAGGGAACAAGTTTGGATCCCACCACGTTCCATTCGAACTCACCTTGCTCTTTTGCGAATTGTTGCTCTCGCTGATTTTTCTCTTCCTACCACCGCCACCTCCTCCTCCTCCGCTGGAAATGCTGGCTGCGCTGCTGCCGCCAAAGCTCAACCCCGTGCCGCCGACGCCGTAGCACGTGCTCGACAAATCCAGTCGCAAGTCCCGACTTGCCTGCGCCCGCCTCTCTGCCAGCGTCGATGCCACCGCCAGTGTGGCCGACGTTGCCGAGCAGCTGAGCATCATCTCATCCGCCGGCGGCTCAGCAGCAGAAGCGGGCGGAGCGGCAGGGGGAGCCTCCTCCGCGGCAACGGCGGCCACATGTTGCTGACGCTGCGGGGATGACGTCGCTGCCGGTGCTGCCGCCTGTTCCACTTGCTCCTCGGCCGCAGTAGCAGCCGCTGCCTCGGTCGGCGTAGGCGTGGGCATCTCAGCGGTGGCCATTGTCGCCGCCGACTGCGGAGAGCGCACATGCGCCTGCTGGTGGCCCGTTTCCGCCGTTTCGCCTGCGGCCGGAGCAGCAGACTCGCTCAGCAGCAAACTCCCGCCGACGTTGACGGGCGCTGCGACCGGCGACGCCGCCAACGATGAGGTGGCCGTGGGAAGCGTAGGTTCGTCGGCCAGCTCGCCACTGCCCCCTCCTTCATCGCCTGCATGCGAAGTGTTGTTGGAATCGAAGCGCCTACGCTTTCGGTTCTTCCGCGTGCGGTGGTGGTGCTGCCTGTGGTGCAGCATCCCACCCCCACCCCCTCCTCCACGCTTCATCGGCGACGTCAGCTGCTTTTCGTACTCCATCGAATCAACGGGATCCAGCAGGTGCAGCGGATCGTGGATGTTGGGCGGTATGATCACCTCCACCTTCGGGGGCGTGGTGATGGGCGACTGACGGGGCGTTGTCGCCGGCGTGTTGTTGCTGGACGAAGCATTCGACGTGTTCTCGTTCTGCAGCGAATTGAGGTTAAGCGGATCGGAGATGTTGCCGCCCAGCAGGAATTTGGTGGGTGGCACAATCACCTCCTTGCGCAGCCGCTTCTCCGGCAGGAAAAACTTGTTGCGGCCGCAGCAATAGTGTACTGCGTTTCCCGCTCCTGTGCTGCCCGCAATGCTGCTGTTTCCGCTCAGCGAGCTGGTGTCCTTGCTGCTCTGCGCCTCCTTGCAGGACGCTCCACCGCCTCCCGCTACGCCACCTGCGCCTCCGGCCGCGCCCGCTCCGCCGGAAGAGCCGCCGTTGCAACCCGTGGCCAAGCAGCACGTGTGGTTCGCATTATTCCCGGCGCACAACACATGGTGGTGGTGACCCCTGAAAGAGGCAAAACAAAATAAGGATTTAGCTTTACGGTTTTAAAGGCCTAAATGTATAAGGCCCGCGAATGACCTGAGAATGTCAAATTGATATCGATTTTGTATACCCTTGCAGATGGGGTAATATAATTTCAGTAAAAGGATTGCACCGCAGTAAAGGAGATAATTATGACACTGTAAATTACATATATTTTAAATCAGCATCAAAGTCTGTCCATCGGTTCGTATGTTTCTACGCAAACTAATCTCTCTCAGTTTTAAAGCTACATATATATATGGTTCTAAATTTCCGAACAGATTTTCACTACCATAGACACTACGGAAAAGTAAATAAACAAAATATATAATTTCGTTGTTGTTGAACATACGGACATACTCCTAGATTGGTTTCTTATAATATTCGAAATACGGACTTTATCATATAGCAGCCATAGCAACAACCGAAAAATGTATTAAAAATGTATTGAAAAACCAACAAAGCTTTTAAGTGTTTAAACATTATCACATATAATTCAAAATAAAGTCGTTTTATAAAATTTTTTTAAAATGGCTGCACGGGTATATGAACTTTAGTTTGCCAAAGTTTGCTTCCTAAATTGTTTTTTTAAGCCTGGCTAGAAGTGCTAGGACCAAAAACTAAAATGGTAAACAAAATTGGCAAGAACTAAAATGTAGTTAATGCAAACATGTATATAAAAGATATTCAGTGTGTTTGATTTGAAAAACTTCAAAAACCTATCTTACGGGGGTATACGGAAATATACATCAAGTTATATTCCAACCGAATTTCAGAGTTTTTATGAGTAAATATGATAAGAGCCTAGAATCAAGTTAACCAAAGCCTACACTTTCGTTGTATCTTAAATCTTTATCCAAAGTTGGGTAGGTTGTGACACCCGAGATCTAATATTATTCTGAAATTTAGTTGGAAAAGCTTTGAGTCCCCCTCGGTAAAGGTGTTTGTAATCAATTATTTCGAAAATCCTTCAATCTACCAATACCGCCGTTATGCCATTATATTACTCACCGGTGCGTTAGCATCTTCTTGTAGAGCTGCATGGTACCTCCTCCGCCCGCTCCTCCGGCGGCGGCGTTCTGCGCCAGCCGCGTGTTATGATGGTGATGGTGTCCACCTCCGCCCGTCCCGGTGTGATGGGCACCACCGCCGCCGCCACCGTGATGGGCGCTTCCGGCGTTGCCATGATGGTTGTTGCCACCGCCGGCAATCTGATTCTTGTTCTGGATATTCTGGATGTTCTCGAGATCGGCCTTGTGGGCTGCCGCCGCTGTCGTGGGCAGCAGGGGCGTGGCTGGGGCAGAGGAGCCGGTGGACTGCGTCTGGGCGCTACTGGCACCAACGCAGGCACTGGCATTGTGTTTCCCACCGGCCTTGTGCTGCCTCTTGCCCCAGGCCTTGTTCCGGTTCTTGGGACCCTGCTGCTGCTGGGGAGCCCGGAACTGGTGATGCTGTGCCGCCTGCGATTTTCCGGGCAGCGGAGTGGGGGACTTGGACTTGCCAGGTGCTGCAGCCGGGCCGCTCTCCGGCTGCTGGGGATGGGTCTCCGGCCTGGGACTCTGATCCAGGCGCAACGTGGGCGTCATGCTGGATCTGGTTACGCGACAATCTCCGGGACTGTCGCTGAGCCGCTTATCCATATTTCTCTAGTGGCGACTTGGCATAGCTTAACTCTAAATATTAAATTCTACTGGTGAGCACCTAGCTCTTATTTTATCAATTCTGTTTTATGCAAACACACTTTTCAACTATCACTTTAATACCACTTTTCAATTATTTTATTTGAATTTTCACTTAATAGTCTGCTCTGGAATCCTTTTTTTTTTTGTATCATAAAAGATATTTAATTTCACTTTACCAACACTTTATGACTTTTCTGTGAGAGCCTTGCTCCTTTGTGTGTTTTTATTTGATTACGCTCAAATGTCCATCAATGTAAAAATATGTTTGCTTTTCGTTTGGACAGCCTGTCGGGCTGAACTTTATACTGCACTTGAAATTGCATTCTTTGGGATAAAAGAGTACTTTTGTTTATTTTGAAACTTCAACCGTTTTCACTTTCACTGTTAAATATTTTATTGAAATTATCCATTTTGGTGAGTTGGTTTATGCAAATTGTTCACGAACTGAGCTGCTTTCGGTATCCACACTTCTTTTGGTAGCCCCTGAAAGAATCAAAAGATAAATTGGTGAGAAATTAATTGTGGAATTTTACTGCATCTCTATATAAACGGAATGGGATTACTATGTTCTGCTAGCAGCTTTGGCTGATTTTTCAACACTTGAACAGCATTTTGCATTCATTATTTGCATAGACCAAAACAGGATGGGCGATGAGGCCAGAGGAGACCAGCAGAGAAAGAGTCAAAGCAGCCCGAAACCCAGCCAACCAGCTAACGACACAAACGAGCTTTGAAAAATTGAGTGCAGACGAAGCTATATACCCCGATTCCATCCACTCGCCTCATCCCCCTCCCTCCCCCACCGCTCCCCCCTTGTGGCCGTGTCTAGCCCGGCATTAATATTTACATGGCAAATTGTGGCTGGAACTGAGAGGCTTCTCTCGGGGCTCTTCCCTTTTCCCAGTTAGTTCCTTACTTCGTTCGTTTTGGCGGTTTTGTGGATTGCAACTAACAACCAGGACAGACACAAGAACCCCCTCCCCTTCCCTCCCCTGCCCTCTTCAAAGTTAACCAAAAAATTCCACCAGTCGAAAACAGATTTCGGAGAGCAAAATGGTAAAGAACAAGTTACAGAAGAAACGGAACGAATTGCGAAAGGGAATAAGTTTCTTTTGCAGTTGCAGTGGGAAAGGACAAGTGTGGGGGTATGGAAACGAGGACTGCAGCAACTGCCATATCAATTTCCTTCAGCATGTCAACCTTTATTGTTTAAGTAACACTTGAATACATACCTTAGTTGAATGATTAAGTTAATTAATAAGACAAATTAAGAAAATGACCCAGGATATAAAATAAAAATGTACATTATAAAATAAATTTATATTTCATAAAAAAACAAAAACATCACCATAGCAGAGTGTCCTAAATTTGAGATTCTAGTCACTGTATTCCCTGTCAATATTTTGCCTATCTTAAGGCAAGGCAACTTGAACAAAACCCTCTTTTTATAAAATCGAATCGTTAGTTTAAAATAGCTCTGTTGTCGCGTCAGCAATAGATAATTAATTTCTGCTCGTTGCAGAACCACAAGCTCAGAGCTTAAATTATCCCTCGGGTCGTCACGAAGCTCTCGACAAAAAGGTTATCAGAAATCAGAGCAGGATTCGCAACCCCCCCTTCCCCCCTTCTGTCCCTTTGGCTTCTTTTTCCTCTGACGAGGCTCCGACAAAGGCAATTTTTATTTGCATATTTTTAGGCGCGCGAATGCGAAATGGGAACACAACGCGTGTAGCTCTCCGAAAGGAGGAAAACACGAGAGGGCAAAGTGGGCGGAGCGGCAGGCCCTGAGAAAATTTTAATTAAAATTTAAATATGCGGCGCGTTGTTGCCGTGCCAAAAGGTTGCCCCCTCCCCTGCACCGCCGCCTCACTTTGCCACCGCCCCTCGAGGGGCGTTCCAGAAAACTGGGACATCGAGCAATGGTGAGGGAAAGCACAAGGCAGTCAAAACAATTGCAGGACCCTCTCAAAGGTGAAGCGCCAACAAGTTTCAATTTTTATTATTTTTCTTAAGTTGCTTCTCGCTCTGGACGCCGGAAATTGTCAATTTTCTTAATTTTGTAAACATTTTAATGGAGAAAAGTTGTTGCCGCTGTTGTTTTTTAGTTGTTTGGAAATGTGATTTGCATGTAAATAAAATTAGTTCATTTGTCCAGGCTTCTTCTTAAAGAAAACACTCTCAACTTTTGCCCGGCAGTGTTTAAAGATGATGAGGAAAAGTTCGAGCTATTGCCACACCCACCAGCCAGATTGTAGGCGTTTGCTTGGAGCAAGATAAACAACAACGACAACTAGAAATGCGAGGATAAACAAATGTTCTACGTGGCACAGGTGTTTCAAATGGCAAACCGAGTCCTGTGGGAGTGCAACAAATTCAACGCTAAATAAAGACACCGATACGCGTGTGTGGTAGTGACAAATCGTGGCTACACTAAGAGAATATGTTTATTATTAGTAGAAAGCAAAATAAACATGGGTAGTTAATCAAAATCTTTTTATTGAAAATGCCTTTACCAAAAACAATTTTCAATAAAAATCTAACTGCGAGCAAAACTTGCATCTCGTATGTATCTCAATTTGTGTTTTCTTATTTTAAAAATTTAATAAATTCAGTTAGATTATTCAAATTATTAATTTGGATTCAATATTTCTCTCTGTACAATTGTGAGCAGAGCATAGAACATGAGCAAAAACAAATAGCAAAACATTTGTCGCTTTTAGGCCATAGAAGGGAGGGGGCGGAATCAAAAGCTCGCCTTGCATATGTAATGTGCGTCATTATGAAGCACAGCTTAACACCTATTTAGGTGCTAGAAAGAGACAAGAACTGCTAGTTCTTCGCCGAGTGAGTGAGATAGAGAATGGCGCAAAAATTCGAAGGAAAAGACTAATTTAATGTCGTAGCATTATGGGGATTTGCATAGAACGACGATAATAACGATAACCGTAAAGACACTTTCTCGCCATATGGTAAACCTTTAAATATGTATGAGCCCAGACCGAAGGTTGGTGCACTGCAGGTAATGATGGGGAATAAAATGAATATTAAAGTCACAAAATATACAGAAACAAAAAAGGGAAATAAATAAAGATTTTAATAAATGAATAGGAAAAGGAGGATTGAAAAGTATCTCACAGATAGCATTGTAAGTGATACCAAAAGAAGGCTTCCTTAAAATACTTTCTTTTTACGTCGTTATATTTTCTCGAAGAAAAAAATTGTTTGTTGTATAACATTAGATTTGAAACGCTTTATGCCGATGAATGGTCTTTTATGCCCTTCCCTTTCCCAATATAAAGAAAGATATGCAGAGGATCTTCCTTGACATGATATTTCCTAGATCGAAGTCAATAGACATTAAATTGGTTTGCTCTTAGACATTTGTAATTCGAAATAAAAAGCTAAAATAAGTAATATACTATTATGCTTCTTTTTGAGTTAACAATGAGGAGGCTATCCATAGAAGTTTACTTTATAAATCTAAATTCTTTTCCTTTACCATACCCAATCATTTTAAATTTTTGCCAAAATTGCAACCTAAAAGAATTTTCCGAAATCCGTAATAAACCTCTGCCAGCTACACCCCGCCAAATGCCGTTCAATAACACCACATTGCTCATCCGTTTTTCTTCTTTTCCGGATTCCTTCGAGATGGCATTCTTTGAAATGTCATGGTATCCGTTCCCCTGACACTCTCGCACGGTTGTCAACATGTCGGCACCAAGAACTGCTTATCCACTTCCTTTGGCACCATTTCCCATCGACTTTGCTCTCCCCAATTTCCCCTCGCCCGCGTAATTGTCTCCAGCAGATGCCTCACCCGCAAGGTCGTCAAAGGCGCCTGTCATATGGCACAGGTGCACTAATATGTCGAATGTGTGCTTGCAATCCCACAACCCACAATCCTGCTTTTTTCCACAGAACCTTTTCTGTGTTGTTACTGTGGTTTCCATTCTCGGATTACACGAACTGATATTTTTCGCAATTTAAATTGACATATTCGCCCTAAAACAGTTGCACAAATTGGAATTAATTTAAGGAGGACAAATAATATGGAGTAAAAGTTGTAGAGGGAGGATACTCTTGCCAAAAACCATTCTTTAGACTGCACTTTGTCAGTTTTTGTCAGTTGTACTCGGTTGAGTTCAATGGAAAAGTATTCCGCCACCTACTCCGAACATCCCCGCTAACTCTACTTTGAAATGGTTCTACTTCTTGCTTGTTTTCTTTATACCCATTTTCTTTTGCTTTAGCCTAAGTTTTTCCATAGTTTGTAGAGCAAGTAAAATTACAGTCTTTGTCAAATACAGTTGATGGCAGGCAGAATCTCTAAAAGTTTAAATCGAATTGAAGAAAGCGATGAAAATAGGTAAAAAAGAGAAGAGGAGGCGAAGATTGTTGCCCAATTGCTGATAATGACTACGATGATAATAGTAATCAGACCGTCAAAGTGTGTTGGAGCTGCAGAAATTGAAGTCTAGTCAGAGGCCAGATAATCAATTATGTATAAAGCCAAGAGGAAACTACACAAAAGGCAAAATGCGGAACTTGCTTGTCACAGCAATAAAACAAAATGAAATGCAGTAAAGAAAGCAAAATAAAAGAGGAGGTTGGTCAGGCAGAAGGCTGCATAATTTTGCAAGGCCATTGACTGATTATGAGCGCCTCACTGAACGCTGATTTATGCACAAGACTTTAGGGGAAAATCCGAAGAAACGGCGAATGAAATTACAATGACAAATTAATGAAAATGAGCAGAAGAAAAGAGAAGGTAAGGGGAGAAACAAAAACAACCCAGGCGCCTAGGAAATTATGAAAATGACCAAGACAAAAATGAGGAAGCAAAATAACTTCGTTAGACACACTTGTATATACTCTTGAGCTATTACTCAATTAAAGATATGAAAACAAACTTGATATAACTGATAACTTTAATTATGGAGTATTTCGACAGAGATTGAACTTGACAAATAAATCACATACATTTGCAGTATAGAGTTTAAGATGCACAACAATCATCGGAACAACATTATAGAACCTCTCAAAGAGTATACAAACTACAATACGAAAGAATAAAAGAAAGGGGCAATGAAACTCACTGTGTCACAATTTATAATTTTTTTATGACTAAGCCGGCGCCCAGTGAAACGCCACTATTATTTTATCTGAAGAACACATGATGACGGAGTTGTATCAGCTTGCACACGAGGCAAATGAATGCTTAGGAAATTACCTTAGTTACCTCAGAAAAAACCACTCTTTATCCGCAGCATAATAAAACATCCATAAAATTGTATTTATCTATTAAACTAAAGGGAAGCTTCTGTTTAGGCTATTCATGCTACAGAGAGTTCTTTTTAGTGATTTTTTAAAGGATAAGAAAATTTGTATTCTTCCTTAACTTTAGCTTTAAATTCCTTTAACCCTATTCATAACATATTAAACCTCTAAGGATATTTTTAGTACACAATTTAATTTCTGAA